TATATAAAATTTCATATCTTTGTCATAGTCATGGGGGTGGTGGTTTGGTGGTGCCGATAGGAATAGGGATACATAAATGAGAAAAGAGAAAGAAAAGGAGAAGAGAAAATGGAAAAGAGAGAAAAATGGTTTAAGATAAAAACAAAAAGTTGAGAATGATAGATGGGGGGACAAAACAAAAAGAAAAGATAAAAGGAAAAATAAAGAGTAAAAGAGAATTAGATTTTTCAAGTCGAGAAAGGAAACGAAAAATGGAAGTGGAAAGGACCATACTCTGAGAAAACGGCAGGTAATGGAGAACAAACAGGAAAAATGCTTCCGCAACATCTTCATCTTTCATTCCCACCGTCATCATCAGGTGCCTCTCACCGCAACCTTCCTTTGGACGGAGGTTTTCAAGTTCCGCAACCGTCGTAGCTTATATTTAAAAGCGTACCATGGGGAGGGCTTGTGCCTTGCGGGACCAGATAGGGCGCGTTGCGTGACGATATGATATGAGTTTGGGTGTAGGTATTGGTAGCATTGACGGGAGAGAGCCCGGGGAAGAGGGGTGTGGATGGAAACCATATGTGGCGGGGTGAGGTGAGGTTGGACGAAGCGGGGATGGTGTTCCCAGACATGCTCGGAAAACGGAAGTTTTGAACAGCCCATTTTTTTTGTATTCGTGCGTGCGTGGGTGTGGGTTTACTTTATGAGTGTGTGAAGTGGGCCGAAAGGATCTCACCCCATTTCCTGTGTTTCCTCATTGATATCGGGCGACCTGAGTGGTTCGGTGTGTGTGTAGGGAAAATGTTAAAGATAGAGGAACAGGGAGGAGGCTTTGGGGGGAGATATTGCAGAATGAGAAAGAAAATGGTTTTGTTAATGTCGCGTTGCGTGTGCGGAGTTGGGGGAAGGAGTTACATATGGAGGGGAGAAAGGGGGAAGAGCCAATGAAGATGCAAAGAGCATGAGGAGGGGCAAGAAATGAGTGTCGGTGTGACGGACGATGGGATGTGTGGTATAATTTCCGAAGCAGCAGGAGGATGTAAAGTGAGGAAGAAAAATGGGGGAGTTTGGGGGAAATGCAGACGGATGAATAGATAGGTGGGTAGAGGGCCTGAAGCCATATATTTCGAAAGTTGGCCATCTAAACAGTGAAATGAAAACCTTCGTGGACGATCGAAGAAATAAGAACATGGGGTTTAATCCAACGAGGGCGCATCAACCGTGACGAGGTGTTTTTAGTATGTAGTCGTCTTGAATATGGAGGCATTGCTCGTAGTCGAGTAAGGGGTGTGTGTGCATGTAAAGGTGAGCCTCTCCGCTCCACCGCGGCGAAAAAAAACAAAAGCCAGCTTCATTCCCCCCACCGGATCTCCTCCTCCTCCCCACACCTGTAATTGACTGTATATTTCCTATCATCGGCGTTAAATTTTCCGCGGTAGTCCAACCACATGCTTGTAGCATAGGCCATCCATCACCCTTTCTCTGTATGATATCCCCTATCAAAAAGAATCAACCCCGCTAGCCACCTCGATGGTGTGTGAAGAGATCATGAGCATAACAACAACGAAAAGGAAATCTAAGACGATGCCCATATCTTCCTCCAGCCGCTTTCATAAGAATAACAACGAAATAAACCGGTGGGATTGCGGGGGCTTGGGATAGGAGAAGGGAGTCACGTTTCCCAAATATAAGGGGACCGCTCTTCAATCCGTTTTCCAGTGTCCCGCAAGCCCAGAGTCGATATCGTCATGTTTCCCTATCCAAAGCTCGACTGCGTACAATGCCATTGTGCAACCAAGATTGATCCATCTCCAGAAATTCCCGGCCCCATCACCGCGGTTGCTCCACCATTCACCATTGCCCCCCATTGCTTGGGAAGTCGATGCAAAGTGCTGCATCAGCAGACTAGTATAGACAGCGACGAGAATAGAAGGGGAAAACCAGCTCAGAAGGCCCAGGAAACGACCGGCGCCATCGGAATCATCCAGGGACGCCTCCTGGGAAAGGGCGCGGGCTCCGGACTCGCGAACGGCTGGGATGATTCTCGTGGATGCGTAGAAGACGAATAGTCGATAGGTGAGAGATATCAGGACCGAGGGGGTCACGGCGCTGAAGGCTGCGCTTACAACGTTGAAGGCTGCGTGGATGATGGAGGGTAGGGTAGAGAGGGCGTGCATGAGCGTGGTATAGGAAGCCATGATGATAGGTGGCAGAGGGGGGAATTCGGGAGTCTGGGCGGGTGAAGGTGGTTCAGTGGTGGACGTGGACGACGATTTGTAGTCTGTGAAGATCTGGTAGATACATAGGACGACGTATGCGAATAGCAGGGAGCTCTCTACTGGGTTTCCTCGACCACTGCCGATACCCCAGGCGCACAGGAAGACAGCACAGGTTATCGCGACGCCGATTAGGGCTGCATCGACGTTGCTAATTCCGGGGAACTGCAGGACGCGCCAGAGGAAGTAAACGGAGCTTGAGATTATGGACGCGGACATGACCAGAAGGCCAATCTTCAATGACACACAGAGGAAGTCAGCATATTCTGGTTCCATTCTCACATGCAACAACGTAACCTATGTAGATTAAATGGAATTAAGGGAATAAAAACCGAGGCAAAGAAAGATACATACCATCCAACTATCGCTCCTCCCACCTCGATTGACCAACCATCTCGTGATCTGGCCGGCAGCCTGGATGACAAGCAAGCTGCAAAACCCCTCCGCCAGTTGGAAAAACGGAGTTGACCAGCTCAACAACTTATCCCAGCCACCCACAGTAGCATTCTCAACAAGGCCGTCGGCACCAAATAGCCATCGAACAATCGACGTATCCTGCGCTCTCTTCCCACCAAACGTGCGCTCGAGCCATCCGACCCGGGCGCCAGCAGTCGAGCCACTGTCACCCGCGTCGGCATCGACGGAGAATCGGTTCAATGACCAGATGAGCAAAGCAGGGACGATAAGCCATTGCGTAGACCTGAGAACGACGATCAGGGAGTTTCGGATCCACGAGCGGGACGGGGTGGTGAGTCTGAGCAGGGAGAAGAAGAAGTAGAAGGCAGCTAGGCAGAGGGAGAAGCCCAGGCCACAGGTCCTACCACCAACATCGAAGGCGAGGGGGATCGAGAGGACGATGGACGTGAGGAAAAAGGCCGACGAGAAGATTCGGAAGATCCACATCGACGGGGATTTATGGCGCAAAAAAGGCGCTCTTGTTTATTTGGGCCGGGAGAGGTGGCGGGGGGGGGGGGGGGGGGGA